CATTTTCCCCTCTCACCTACGCCAATCTTAAGTTAGGTGTTTAATTGGGGTTATATTTTAGCCTAAATATTGACATTTTAAAATAATAAATGCACACTTTTATTTTTATAAATCTTCTTTTAGTCTTTACAATTCAACATCTGAAAAGGAGCAGTGTTTAAAAGATTGTAAAGAATCTGCAGAAGATTCAAATGGACCGCATTGCCATGATTGTCTGTTATCCTGCTAACGAAAGCAAACTTTTAGGTTGCACACAGTGCACTTGGTCTGATGCTCAGTGCAGTCGTTTTCTAATGCTAGTGAGTGTTGACCAAGATTGATGGTGCTGAATGACAGCATAAAATATTAAAATGCTTTTTTTGTTTTTAAAATTAAAAAAGTAACAACTTGATACATTCACTCTATAATTCTCATCCCTCAGTGTAGTGGTTTCAATAAAGACAGAAAGACAGAAATTTGTATATGAAGGGTAATGTACACAACTGAGAATTTCATAGTAGTGACCAAGCCACATGGGAAGGGAGACAGTAATATGACTCAAAATTAAACAGAATCATGGAATCATAGAAATCATAGAATTGCTCAGGTTGGAAAAGACCTTAAAGATCATCGAGTCCAACTGCAACCTGACCATACCGCCCTAACTTTAACAACCCTCTGCTAAATCATGTCCCTGAGCACCACATCCAAACAGTTTTTAAACACATTTAGGGATGGTGACTCAACCACCTCCCTGGGGAGCCTATTCCAGTGCTTAACAACCCTTTCAGTAAAGAAGTTTTTCCTGAGAATGATCAGACATGGTTTGATAGATGGCTTCCAAAACTCAGTGTAATAGCTCATTGAGTGCATACTTTTGTATGCTGTTGACCATCTTTTTTAGGCCTCTATCTCCTTTTGTTAGTGTCTCCAGGCTTTTATTATAGTTTCCAGGTTAGGATTATTTCTCTGTTACGTTTGTAAATTACAGTAGCCTTCTCTCATTTGATATAAATGTGTTCATAACCTGTGAATTGTGATCTACCTTAGTTGAGGTCATTGTTTCAAATCTTTCTGTTGATTGTAAGTTTTTTTTTTTTTGGTTTGTTTGTTTGTTTGTTTTTTTAAATTGATTTTCTACCTGATTTTGTAATTAGTTGCAAACTACAGTTTGGAAATAACAGCATGTTGGACTCACTTGATCTATTATGTCTTCAGGTCTTTCTTAAATGTGTTGCTTTAGCCACAGAAAACTAACAATAAGAGTTTGGTTTTGCTTCTTAATTGTTTTACTTGCTGAGGTATCTGAGTTCGGAAAATCTGAGTTTTCAACTCATTCCAAGTATTGCCTCATGGCAGCTTTGATTGCAAACATCTCATAGAAAACTGTCTGAAGTTGAACTGGAATGGAAGAGCCTGGTCTTTACATTTAACTTTTTATGCCATATATGAAATCCAGTGGACATTATGATCCCAAGCTAGAGATGTACACACTTCAGAGGAAAAGAAAAGATACCAATTCTATCATGGCATCTTTTCAAATCAAAATCCCATATGGTTTTCCATCGTGGAATTGTTTTTCATAATCCATGTATTAGGGTTAAACTTATTACGTTAAAAGCTTTGTTTTTATTCATACAATATCTGGAAGTAGAATGTCTAGACTTTGAATTATATTAAATCCACTGCAGTTTATCTAAGGATTATTTATTTGGGGTTATTTGTACAGAAGTGCCCTTAATGTGTTGACCAGTTTGTTCTTGGCTAGCAGGAACATGACAGTAGGCTGTAACTCGACAATAATCAAAGCACTTATTACTACCATCTTACTTGAATGCTTTGCTGTTTTGATATAAGTTGTTCTTAGTTATTTTTACATTTACAACATTACTTCTGGGCATGTTGTCTGAACAAGCTGAATTTAATAGGCTTAGTGGATTTTGATGCTGTACTATAATAGCCTGTTTAAGTGCAGGTCATATTCTCAATTGCAGTTTAGTGGCAGAGCTGTGAACAGCAGCATAGGAGGTGGACCTTCTTCACATATTTTCCAAATGTGAACTTTCAAGATTAGTTCATGGTAGTATACTCGAATGTTGATGATTTTTTTCTGCATGTTATCAGTATATTTAATAAGTAAAATTTAAAACAAAATAAAACCCAAACCAACTCTCGCTGGGTGAAATGACACTGCTTTTGAAAACTTACCTTCATATCCAGGAGAAGGCCACAAAAATAATTCCAGGGATGGAACACCTCTCCTATGAGGACAGGCTGATACAGCTGGAGGTTTTCAGCCTGGAGAGGAGAAGGTCCAGAGGAGACCTGAGAGTGGCCTTTCAGTATCTAAAAGGGAGCTATAAGAAGGAATGGGACAAACTCTTTAGCAGGGGCTGTTGTGATAAGACAAGAGAAATGGTTTCAAACTAAAACTGAAGATTTGGACTGAATATAAGGAAGAAATTTTTTTACAGTAAAGATAGTCAGGCACAGGAACAGGCTGCACAGGGGTATGGTGGTTGCCCTGTACCTGGAGACATTAAAGAAAACTTGACTGTTGCATGCACTGGTTTATCTCAAGTGACCCAGCTTTCATCTTGTAAAATCCTAAAACCTGATGAGATAGAACATAAGTTTTATATATATATAAAAGATGTGTGTAGACAGAGGAAACAGTTAATAATGTAAGTACAACGGCACATATATATATATATATTGGGAGTTGAACTTACAGGCTACAAAGAGTAACTTAAATGAAGTCAAATAAGAGCAGCAGTAAATTTATTTGGGATCATCTTATAAGTTGTTCGTCTAACAATTATTAATGACACAAATGTGTGAGAAGTTGTTTGTGTAATTTAGAAAAATAGGGTGTCACCAAATGTCAAGTCAGAGCTCAATCTTTGTTATGTGGTAAACTCAATTTCTGGAACAGTAGAGATTTTTGAAAACTTACAATGCATAATAGCTGCTTGAAGTTGGTCTTTTTCAGGTGTAACAAGTTGATATGAAGTCATGCTGGTGCCCTCTGCTGGCATCTGCTGAAAGCTCTTAAGGCCTTGCTCAAATCAGACATGATCTCCATGGTTAGTATCTGAAGGATGCTGTTCATCTGTTCATTGAGTGTCAGACAAGCTCAAAACCATCTCTTGAATGTAAAATGATTTCTATTTAAAGCAGCTCGGGGCCAGGCAGAGTGAGGGAGGAGAGGTACAACTACTACCTGTGACTCCTCATCTACTTACAAATGACCAAAAGCTTTAACTTCTACATCCAAAAGCCCTAAAACATAAAAATGTCTGCTTAATTAAATATTTGAACACTGACAACTGTTGGACAGTTTGAAAGGCTGAGGCATGGATTAAAGACATCAAGGGTCGTAAGAGAGTCATATTTCAAGCTACTCAATGAAAACACAACTATGATTCAGCAATTTTTATTTTAAAAATACATGTATTCATGTAACTTTGCTTACTGACAGGTGCAAAGAGAAAAAAAATATTTCTATTTCACAGTTACTGAACTGCAAAGATTTGCTGCTATCACTGAGAGTTGTCTGAACAGTAAGGAAAGAGAAAATAACAGAATATTCCACAAAAGAGAGTTTGTATCCCCTTACTTAAATAATCATCTAATCTCAACTGTCCTCAAATCTTTGCATACCCTGTGGCTGTATGGAAATTTTAAGTACACTGTTGACTATCAATCAGCTTTACTATGTTCACAACTGGGCCTTCTGAAAAGCTGTTTCTGTAAGGTATCTCCATTATGTACTTTCTGTGATCCTTTTAATCTTGTTCAGAGGAAGGAATACATCCTTTTATTTTCTCTCTGAATAACCAAGGACGAACACCTTATGTAGGGAAAAGATTAGAGAAGGTATGAGGCTTCACTTTTCAAGGGAAGTTTAATATTAGTGTTAGAAGGGACTTGAGGAACTTTAAATGCTAATCTCTCTTACTGTCATCTACTTAAATTCTTTACATTGGATAATCAATGAAAGATGTCTGAGGATTTTTAATTGTGATTGAGTGTTAGTAAGCGTTCATCAGACATTTGAACTATGTTGATTTTCTCTATATATGCAAAAGTTCTTTCTTGAGCAGAATCCTTAGCATTGGCTTGGTAGAACAAGCTTTGCTTCACCTGTATTTTCACATAAGGGTTTGTTGCATCTTCACCATTGTGATTGTGTAGAGCAGATTCAATCAAATGTGTTAGTAGAACAAGTTATTGTATCTTGAGATGTTGAACTGTGTTTTTAGAATCATCATTATAGGAAAGAGCAGGTGATAGAGTGAGATTCCAGTACATAGGCTAAAGAATTCAAAATTAAAAGATCTTTGAGATATTACAGAGCCTTAAAATTTCTTATGTATTATTGAGCTATCTTAAAAACTTTTAATCTTGTGATTCTGAATAGCTTTGTATCCACATTACACTGGGTTTGGGAAAATCAGCCAGATCATTGCTAATCTACACTAATTTAATTTAGCATTAAACTAAATACTTTTAAGATAAGAGAACTGCAAGGGAGATGCAAAGAACATTCTGCTTCTGTTTTGGTTACAAACTGTGGCAGGAAAAATTGCAGAAACTTTCATGGAAAAATAGTTTATGGGATAGTTTAGATGTAGCATTAAAAAGAGTGTATTTCATATTTAAATTAGATTCTACCTCCTAGAAAGTGTCCACTTGCAGAATGTGGTTTGGTTGAAAACTATAGGTTTTTTTAAAATATTTTATTGATATTTTTGTTTGTTTATTTGTTTTTGTTTCTCTCTGCATAATGGAATCTTGTTAAGACAAAACTAAGCAGTGAAGAGTAATATTTTGAACCAGTCCTGCATCTTGCCCAGGTAGACCTTAATTTATAATTTTGCAGATGCTTATCTTTCTTTTTATTTGAATTGTGAAGACAAGGTCAGAAAAAAAGTGCCTAGTTTTGTCAAATAACCATGGTGTAAGACCTCATGTACTGACACCATACTTATGCATTCTTATTCTTTCCTTAATTTCAGGCGAGCGTCCTTACCAGTGTCCTTACTGTGACAAAGCTTTCAGCAAGAATGATGGACTGAAGATGCATATTCGCACCCACACAAGGGTAAGTGCTTTGGTGGTTATTGAGAATTATTTGTAAATCACTTGAGGGGAAAAGTAAATATCTCCTGTTTACACAGAAGTAAGGCTATACTCATCAAGGTATTTCATGCTTACCCAAGTGAGAAGCAAAGACTTAAATCATTAACTGTCAAATTCTCTTAGTAGCCTTCTGTTTTTCCTTTGTTAATTGTCTTTTGTTAAAATAATAACAGTATGGTTTTCTTCTTGTAATCTGTGGTTATTTATAAACTAATATTTGTGATTGTTTCCTAACAAAGCAATTCTAAAAAGGCTTCACCATCTTTTAAACTTCAGTATCCAGTATTTTGATTCTTATTGTTTCCATAAAAACCGGTAACAGTAAGCTTTAGTAGAGGCTGCAGTTTATTAATGGGTGACAAACATTAAGCTGGAAAGAATTGTAGAATCATTTGACTTGGAAGGGACCATTAAAGATCATCTGGTCCAACTCCCTTGCAGCAAACAGGCACATTTACAGGTAGATCAAGTTGCTCAGAGGTGAGGTGAAACTGCAGCAATACTCAGCTTTCCTTTCTTTTCTAGCAAAGATATGCAGAGCTGTCCTAAAACAGTCAGATGTGAATTCCCATAGGAAAGGGTGATCTCTGGCAAAGTCAAGGAGGTCTAACAGTCTCTGTGTTAACTGCCTCTATAAGCCTTCTGCTATAAGAAAAAAAAAAAAAAAAAAAGTAAAAAAAAAATAATCTAGCTTTTACTGGTAATTGCATGGGAGATGTTGCTGCTTATGGAAATCAAGGCTGCCTGGAGGCCAAACCAATCAACTTCGTTATCAGTTAGGATATGAGGGGACGGGAGTGAAAGTGACTTTTGTGGTTCCCATATGCAAACCTGCACTCAGAATAGCTTTTTGAGAACATGAAGATAATATCAAAGCCGCATGTTTTATTTTCTAGCATTTTACCCAGGTCTTCAAGGCATTAACTTGAAGACTTACATTAAGTTGTAGCTAATGGTATAGCTTCCTGGTGTTTCACTGAGAACAGACTAATTCCATGTTGTTCATTACTTCTCCCTGTTTTTGACTGTTGAATCGCTTTAAGAATTGCAGTGAAATCTTTTTTTTTTTAAATTACTGTCTCTTATTATTTCTTCATAAGGAAAAATTTCATTACCACATATGTGACTGAATGGGAGGAGCAGTAAATAAAGCCTTCTATGTCATAATAAATGCTTAATTTTTTTCCTGATTTCCATATATTTTGAGTAAAAACAGAAAAACCAACACCCCAAAAAAACAACTCCAAACCAACAAACAAAAAATCAAACCACCTCAAAACCACCGACATCCTATGTAGAAAAATAGAGGAGAAAAAAAAAAAAAGAGTTAGAATAGGCCTTTAAAGCCTATATGCCTTTAAAGCCTATGAATAGATGCATCTCTGTTGAATATAATACTTTGCAACAGGTGGTGCTTTCTTTCTTCAGAACACATGATTGTGAGTGAGGCTTGAGAGCTTTACAGACATTATCTTCATTGCTTTAAAATGGTAAATAGACTGTAGAGTGTTTACTTTTAACAGAACTGCTTATCCTTCTGCCTTAGCAAATGAAGTATTTCAATGAAGGAAAGTTGTGTGGTTCCTTCTTGATAATTCTATATTTTTCTGATTTTTGTATATGTATCAAAGTATTTCAAAAGTTATTTCAAATTGTGCTGAATGGAGTGCTGAATAGAAATGCTCTTCAGCTGAGTGTGCTTGTACTTTTGTAGGATGTTTCTTGTCCTTAGCTATACTTTGAAAAGTAATTGTACACCTTAGTAGAGAATTGTTGGCTTTTAGTTACTTGCTACCATCTCTTTTACATAATTTATTGTTGACATATATTTCCATATGTCATCACATTTTGCCACTCTTACATATAAGCAGAAAAAAAAATCTTAGAAATTTACCATCTGATTCAAAATGCTTCAAATAGAACCGAAAGGCAAACTGAGAACTTACATTGATGTGAGAATAAGAGGAAAAAGAAAATAATTGAAACTACTTATGAGCGATGGAAGAAAAATTCAACCAGTGCTTATTATTTAGGTAACAGGAAAGGGAAGAGTTAGGAAACAACTTTTACAGACTCGAGATTTTTTTCTTAATAAGTGTAGACTTTATAATCAGAGAAACTGAAATTTTATTACACTAAGAGGGTAATAAAATCTGATTTTAAATGTATCAAACAATGTGCTGTTACAGTATCCTTACAGAAGGAAAGAATGAGATATTATGTACAGCTCAGTTCATGCCAAATGTGATTTGAGTGTTTCCATATACTTAGACTGTAGTGATTGTCTATATACAGTTTATATTTCAGTTTTTTTTTCTTTTTTTTTCCTATGTGTAAGTGTGCTAAGCAGATTACTAGAAATCTTTACCATTTCATTAGATAATTAAAAATATGCAGGCAAAACCACAAAAGGAATTCTAAACAATCATGTTATGCTTCTTTTTCTGTCATGTTGTTTATATGTTACTCCTTTTATGAAGCTTCACAGAGAAGCTAATTTACATAGAAATGACATGTTATATTAGTTTTTCCCCAAATTCCATTTTTTTTTAATCAGATATACATTGACTGCTATTGCTAATTCTCCAGTATTCCTGTTCATTTTTTCAGATTATCTCTTCACTCTAGTTTTCTGGGTGTGATCGAGACTTAAAAAGATTAAGATGTTTTCCTTTACGAGGCTGGTATCTTTACAAATTTGTATGTTAATGATAAGCTGGATTGCTAGTTTTGAGCATCTTAGATCTTTAACTGAACATAGATTGAAAATTCTGAGCTACTCATGTCAGTTGTTTCTGAAGCCTCTCTTTAGGTGCTTGCAGTGTTTGTGGTGGAGTTCTTCATTCTGGAACTCAGAGACTGCATCTATGGTAGCAAGTAGCAGTGCAGTAGCAGTTACATAAAGTGAAACAATTGGGCCTGAAGACCTGCTGTCACATTGTATGTGTTTCGAGGATTTTATTCAGGATTTTGTGTAGTCTTGTCATTCTCTGCTGCAACACCCCCTGCTATGCATCTTCAGCTATAGCTAGCAACATGGAATAAGCGTAATTTTAGCACCCTTCCTCAAGAGCTTTTCCTGCAGATATCTTGAAAAAAAAAAAGTTTTGTCTTTTGGCCAGAAAAATTGTGAAGTAACTTACATGTAATAATATGACATTTAACAATTCAAATTTAGGTATGCTTTACTAGTGGGATAAAATGCCAAACCTGATCCTGTGGATCAGGGAAAACTGCTGGAAAAATCATTTTAGAAAGTTAAAGTCTGGCAGCTGCTAAACTTGGTACAACCTGGGTGGCCACAGGTGTCAGCTCAAACTCTAGAGTAAGCAGGGAGGGTAAGCCAAAATTCCTACTGACGATATAAGGAGAAGAAAATACCATATAATATTAAAATTTCACTGGAGTGTCAATTTGCTTCTTTAAAAGCAGATGTGCCTGATTTGTTTGGTTTTCTTAAGAAGAAGTATAACAGCCTAAGAAAACATAAATGAGAAACTCAGTGAATTTCTTAATGAAGTATATTTATAAACTACAAGCTGTATTGAGGAAATATGCATCCACTCTTTGCTGTACAGTAAAGTTTACCTTTTCCCTAAGGCTCTGTTCAGCACTAGGCACAATATTATATAAAGTTAAACAGGGAGAAAATACTGCAATGTAATTGTTAATGTTTGGAAATTTACGGGTTGATAGGTGCCCACAACATTTGACACGACAGTAATTATCGCTCTGTCCAATGGATATTTTCAGTACTTTTGAAAATGTAGATTTATTACATTGTTTCAGTTAAATACATGGCAGTGATGGAAAACAGGTAGCATAGAAGTCATTCCCAAATGCTCTTTCATCATTTGGTTAGAATATTTCACATTTATGCTTCTAATGTGTAACAGATAGATCTGACTTCTGTAGTTTGCTTAAAAATCTGATTTCTGATGGTTGAAAGGCTGCTGGCTTTAATTCTTGTTGTCTGTTTCTGAGTTAGTAGTTGAAAAGTAGAGAAATTGCAGTGTATTCTTAGCTACATTTCCTTTTTTTTCTTTATGCATAGATTCCTACTATTTTAAAAAAATGTATAAATGTTGAACTATGTTTTTAAAAGTTCAGAAATGTAAGAAATGAACAAATCAGGTGGCATTTTTCTTGTAGTTTTGCCACTAACTTTTCCACACATGAAATACATGGCTGGCTATTTCCACATACACAGACATTAAGTGGAACTGGACTGTAGATTGCAATTGATGTTGTGTATTTTTGGATACATAGAATCATAGTATATCCCAAGCTGAAAGTAACCTACAAGGGATGATCATCAAATCCAACTTCTGGCTCAGTAATTCCATATATTTCTATGATTTTAAAGTCAACTCTTGAATTCCTAAATTCTGCAATTATTTTTTCAATGATGGCTGAGAGAATTAGTCTCACTGAAGCTTGAATGAATATATTTGTATGGGTTGCAATCATATGAGTGGGTTCAGTGTAAATATATGCTTAGAATTTAATCACTCACTGGATTGTCTTCTACCCTTCTTAAAAATGGGACTTCACCTGACTGCCATGACTTTTCAAATATCATCGAGAGTGACTTTATGATTGTGTCAGCCAGTTCCCTCAGGACTCTGGAGTGCATCTCAAGACCCATAGACTTACAGATGTTCAGGTTTCCCAGTTGGTTGTGAACCTGATATTTGTGTACAGCAGGAGGGACACTGCTCCTTCCCCCCCTCCCCCTCCAAATTGCCATTGTCCTCTCCACCCACAAAAAAAAAAAAAGGAAAAAAAAAAGAAAGCTTTGGGTACTAAATATAGTCTTCTATGAACAAAACTATCAATGAAATAATATATAAGGTGTTGATTGAATTTCTCATTTTTTTTCATTATTATATTTTCTCTATATTTCCCCACTGGTGTAACATGAGTGAGTTCTAAACATCTGTGCCTGAGGATGATGACTTT